GTATTAGTTCTCCATTAAGAACTATAATACGAAGTTGAAAAGCTCAAGTACAAGAAATTGGAGATCATGCAGCCGAGGATCAAAAACAAATCTGAACTTCCAGATGGTGAATAAACAATCCTGGATCAACAGTCCGCACGAAGTTTACAGTCGTGATTGATTAATAATACAGTCTAACATTTATTAGTGAAGAACGATAAGGTGGGGGCGGGGTAACTTTCTTCCCGGAAAAGGGAGGGCTTTTTAGAAAGGGGGGTTCATAGAGGATTTACTGTGCGCAAAACACATCGTTCGATAGATTTTATCATTTTGGAGGCTTTTTTGAAAAAAAAAAATGTTTATTTCCTGCAACCGTGCTAAGAAACAGACTAAAGTTTTGAAGAAATGCTACGTGGAGGCTCTGCTTGTTAAGAACTTAAAAACAATTATGGGTGAATAATAGATCAATTTTTTATATCGGCTTTCGTATGCTGAAGAATTATAATGATCTCGGAGACTGTTATCCACCTCGGCCGATAATACTCTCATAGATCTCCCTAATTCTTCAGATCATACTCAGCCTTATTCTATAATTGTTAATTACCATTTGCATTTTTTTAATCATTGTCATGTTTGTTATCCTTATAATTATCGTTATTATGATTATTGTTATCAACATTACTTTTATGGCCCAGTTTCACCTGAAATGAACCTACTTCGCCACCTTAACTACAAGTGCAGTTTGTCTTACAAGGAAACATATATTGAAGTTCATCTAACGATGCTGCTTGTTCTTTGTTTTTCGCTTTTGGAGAATCGCTTTATTTCTTTCTATCTTTTACTAAAGTGTTCTTGATGTATATAAGGAAACTTAAAATGCTTGGTTTTAATTATCTCTCAACTCTGACCCAAATGACTCAAATCAAAAAGCATACCCCTTTAAAGATTCACTTGAGTCGAGCCAATAAAATTTCTAATTTTCTTGACTTTGTTAGGTATTTTTAGCAAACATCGATGGCACATCGGTGGTACCAACATTATTTGAATCTTCCACATTACTTGGGCGTTATATTAAAATCAAAGCCGTCACTTGGAGCATTCGTCCATGCCTACGCTTGGAACTATTTGGCTGTAGAACTGGTGAGTAAAATCAATTTTAGTCAGAAAAAAAATAAGATTTTTTATTACAGTCTTCTCTCGCCTTTGCAGACGGTCCCTCAGAACGCAAGTTTGCGAAAGTCCATAATTGCGAGGTGGGAAAAAAAAAATATTCGTTAGAAAGCTCGATTTGTGGGCAAAAGAATAATTATAAATCCAGCCATTAATACAAAAATGATGACGAAATACGGATAAAATATTGTCAATACTGTTGCTTTTGTGCCTGAATGTTGATTGATGCCCCTCTGTGTCCGAAAATTGGCCATTTCCGCGTTGCAAAAATTCTCACTTTCAAAAGGAGGCTAAGTGCAAGACCTTTTAGATGAAAGTGACTTTTATTTGCAGGAGTAGGGTATCTGTAGAGCGAGGGTTGACTCTATTTACTCGTGCCTAGATAGTTAGTCTTCGAAGATAACTCTTCACTTAACCCTCAGTAACTGGTCCGTCACTATCCACAAAAGGTTTTAGTGGGACATTTGGCTTTTAGTAAACTCTCATGTTTCAAGGGCCAGAAAACTGCTAGGATCAGCAGGATATTATTTTGTGGCAGGCACATGATTCAATACCTACTTCGCTGGTTAGAGCGTTCGACATTTAGCCGAACGGAGGTTTCGAGATCTGTCTTGACGCCACGATGTACACGTAACTGTTAATTATAGTTGATTGCATGTAGACACTATATCGTTCGTTCCTTTGAAATGCTTTGAGCCAAATTATAACGCACATAAACTTTTCTTCGTATCCCTTCTGTGTTTTAGCTTTACATCACATCGGGCGTGACATTGTTTATTCTCTTAGTAGTTTACTGATGTTTTATTACTTTCAGACCCTCATCCGACGCCTACTCCTCCTAGCAGTCGACCCCCAACAGAAACCCAACCTCCCCCGAAAAGTAAGAAAATTGAATATTCCGTTAAAGGCCTATACTATAATTATTAAAACGATCAATTAATCGCCTTAAGAATGGAGGTCCCCGGAGAAGTAAAACTCTATTTCACCAGAATATAATTATGTGTAGACTAATTTCTGGTACAGAAAAATGCAGGAAAAGAAACAATCATCGCAAACCTGTTCAAAGCATGTATCTTTTTTAAGGAATCACCGCCTATGGAAATAACCCCGTTTTTGTTTCAAGTTTCAAGTTTTTACACAAACATAAACAACTCATTGGGAAAGTTTGACCACAATTTCACGGCAAGTTCTATTTTAGGGGAACGATCATAACGGGTCGTTCGACTTAACAAGTGTTTTACAAATGGGAGCTTGTTACTGACCCAGGCTGTTGCAGGCCCCAAGACAGTGGGAAGAACGGATCACGAAAATAAAAGTGCGAGAAGCCGCACGAGTGCTTGGAAGAGAGGGTGAGGTGGCACGGGCTATCACTGACCCTGAAAAAAAAAAATAGAAATGTGCAAGTTCAATTCAATCTTAGAACACCTAATGTAACGGCAGAAGCACGTGACAAAACTCAAAAAACGTATGCGTGGGAGGCTGTACTAATGCCATCTTGGACTTAAAAATTCGGAACTGAAAAACCGTTTGTTTTTTAGATGTAGCCTACGCAGGATCTGTGAAGCTGTCTCAAGAGGAATGGACAGATGACTACAAGAATCCAAACAGCGACGCCTACAAGGTTCTTGCTTCAAAAGTGGAGAAGTCGGTATGAATGCAATTTCGTTCGAACGTCGAAAACTGAACGCATAAAAAAACCGTGTTGTAAGTTTGAATTTCTTGACAGCCAAGCCTCTCGAAAGAAGTAAGCCACTAGACGTGTTTTTGAACGTGCCTTGAATTGTTCCTTTTTATTTTTCAATTGAAACCGCAAAACCTTATGGCGAATCGTTTTTATTTAAAATTAATCTACTTAACTTTCGACCTTATAAGCTAGTGCATGTTTTGGGTTTGCATGCAGAAAAGTGACCTGGGATACTAAACTTTAAATTTCAGGTCAGCTTTGAATATAAGAATGTGGAGCTCTTTTATTTAATAAATTTAATAAATGCCATTTTGTGCTTCGTCAGATAAGAGAAGTGTACTCTGGCGTAGATAAAGCATCTCTAGCATTTTCCAATGCCATGGTTACAGGATTTAGGTATGCTTCTAGATTTTTAATATAATGCTTAAGCCTTGAATGTTAAAATATCTGATGTAACACTTCACATGTATTTAAAAGAACGATGATTTTGTCATATGTTCTTTGGCTTTCGCTGAAAGTTGAACAGTTTTCTGCAAAACTAATCTCAAGCAAAGTTTCAACGTTATGCATGTATAGGTTTTATTCGTTCGATAAAATGTTGCAACTTTTAAAGCATTCACCAAAGACAAGTCCAAAGGACTTAGGGAAGGTAAGTTTTAAATTGTGGGTGGGAGTGAGCCAGGAAGGGGAGGGTCCCCAGTAATTTATTTATTTATTTATTTATTTATTTATTTATTTATTTATTTATTTATTCATTGTATTTTATTTTTCCACTTCAGACGTGGAAGCGTTATAGTGCTGTTCAATTTGACGTTTACACGTGATATTGCTGATGAGCTTGGTGCAAACGTCACCCGTAACCTGGTGAAGGCCGTTCAAAGTGGAAGCCTAGGCGGACTAGCTGTTGATCCAAATTCACTTACAATAACACAGTCTGGTGGGTAGAGAAATTTTTTTTATTATTTATTTAGTTATTTTTTTTTTTTTGACAAAGCATTATCTGCAGATGTTGTAACCAACGCTGTAAATAAGCGGTTTAAAACTGTTTCAAATTTTGGTTGCATGTGTAGCTGTTGTTCCAAACTCTAAAACAGCAGACACACATGAATTACTGTTGTGAAACGTTTATTTAATTAATCCCTGCTTGAGCCATATAACAAACAGTTGCTGATTCCCACTGCTCATTACCTTCGTTTAATTTAGTTAGGGAGTAATGATAGTGATTTTTCGCCTCTTAGCCATCCATCCATCTTTAACCGAGAAAGAAGAAAAACTATTATTCGTAAAACTGTTAGAGAACAAGTTCATCGAGCCGCCCCTGACCTGATGTTGTCAAGATTAGTCCTTTTTTTGTTTGTTTGTTTGTTCTTTGTTGTTGTTGTTGTTGTTGTTGTTGAATTTGGTTTGTTCTTCTGTACATATATTGATTTTAAAACAATCATATTTCTGTTTTTATTTCCTTTTTCAGCTGGGAATGGGAATACAGGGAACCACGTGACAGCTGCAGCGCGCACTGGGGGTAGGTACTCTCCTTTTCATTATTATTATTTATTATCATCATTGCTATTATTATTTATTGTGGTCATCATTCTATATAGGAGAAATTCCTTCTAATTCTCGAGTAGAGTTAAGAGAAAAAAGAACAAGAACTAGAACAAGAAAAGGGAAAATGACAATCGCACATTGTATGCATCTTTAAGCGCATTTTATCTCAATGTTGATTTTCACTACCGTCGAAGTCGGAGTCGAGATCGTAAGAGTATTCGTAAGAGCTCTTATGACCCGGTGAAAATCAAAAATCGGGGTCGTAAGCGGAGTCATAAGTGTGACGGAATGGGAACCGAAGAATCAGAACGTTTTTAGTTCCTCCCGACTCCGCTTATGGCTCCGTCGTTTACGATGTATTGAAAACCAGATTGTTTGAGTAGGAACCAGAAACGGAAGGATAAACCAGTTGCAATGTTCCGATCCCCATGCTTTGTGATTGGCTCAGTTCTTCTGCTTCTGTTTGCGACTTCCACAACCTAGTTTTCACTTGATCGTAAACGACAATCGGCGGAATCAGATCGCTGTTTTCAATGCACAAGATCGTTAAGTTCTAGGCTTCTGATTACGACTCCGAATCCGACTCCGTCGCTAGTAAAAACCAGCCTTCAGTGCGCCGTCAACATTCATACGGTGCATTGTGCTGTTCTAGGTTTTGCGTTTTTACCCTCTCAGGATTTTAGCGGGAAAGAATTTTATTATTAGATGCCATGTGAGAGCGAACGCTAAGTGTAGCGATGATACATTTGTAGTGATGACTATGTTAAGTGATCAGGCAAGTGATTGAAACACCGAAAAGTAGGCTCGGGAATTTATTAAAATTTGGACAAAAAGCAAGTGTAATTATTCCCTAGTTTCACGAGTATTTTATTTGTTTACATTTTTTCTTCGGTGACAAATTAAGTTCACAATCATGGGTTTTGGTGTGTTTATTGAATCGAGAACTCCACGCCGAATAAACACCTCCGGGCATATATTTTTTCCTGAGTTCACAATTGCCTGACATTTTCGACAAGCTACCCATTAGAATCTTTTTTGATGTGCTCTTTCCTGTGTTTGGGTTTCCAAAGCGCTTTTAATGCCCTTTATCTTTACTCATAACATTTTAAAACACTGACGGAACGTTTTCATAGAATTTTATTTGTAATTTACACGTGAATTTATGAGGGTGCGTTTCTTTACTAGAATCCAAATTCGGGTTTTTAATCCGAAAACGGATATTTCGTTTCTTTACTAAAATCCAAAAACGGATTATTGATCCAAATGATCCACAACGAAGGTGGATTCTTTGGATCATATCAAAAACCGGATACTTTGGATACATGATCCGAAGTGTTTCTTTACTACGGATCCGAAAAGAGTGAATACAGCCAACGGTAACTTGAAACAATTTCAATACATACAGCAGCTGTTGGACAAAATTGCTCATCTTTACAACTATTTTTGAACTCGAGGCATAGATTAAACGATCGATTTTATCCGTTTTATTGGGATGGTAAGATCGCAGTACAAGTAGGACCTGCTTTGTTCTACTAGTTCACAAGGACAAATCGAGAAAAACTGCAAAGCAACTTCAACTGCGCGTCTTGCAATAGTTTACTTTTCCACGTAGATATCTTATTTCAAGACTCATCTTCCCTTGGCCTGAGCTAACCGTCCAGGATACAATCAGCAAATTTGCAACATTATCCGCAGCCGTACGCGTATTATTCTTTCTCCTGGATACCGTCGGTATTGTGGGTCGTTTCTATGGAAATGACTGAAAAATAATCCTGTTTTCGATACATCGTTTCTTTTCATAACGAAAAATCCTAATGATCCGGATTTCTGATTCGATCTCGGATTTTAGTAAAGAAACGAACCCTAAATTAACGCTGAAATATCGCGCCAGATTTAGGTTTATGAGTTTCTACAAACCTCTCTATCAGAGCGATGCCTGTTGCACAACCATTCGTATGAAAATGAGTTTAATTAACTGGGCTACCTTAAGGCACGCCCAGTTTAATTCTTCGTCAAAAAATGAACATTATCAATTATTAACCCAGTAACCAGAAGGCGTTGCGAATGGAGAAGGTATTGCGTTTTTGCGTGGATGGAGGTGATTCGACCATAGTGTTATTTACAATCGATACGTAGTGTTTTTATAAGTTTTGTGGATTCAAGAAGCACCGCGCAAAAGCTGGGAAAGAGCTGGGCGGCGTAAGTTGCAAATTTGGGCTGTTGAGCGTTGCCATAGAACAGCGCTGTTGCAGCGGTACAGGAAATTCCCGAATCGCGATCTGAGCGGCAATTTATGGCTGTCGAGAGGCTTCGAAAAGAGGAAGAATGTTTATTACCGGTCATGGCACAGCACTCGTTAGTTAAGCATGCTGACTTTATTATAAAGGGAATGTTACACAGCGAATATGTTCTGCATACAGCTTATACCGACGATAGCTAACAAAGTGATAACTCAGTTTGATTAACTCAAAAACGCAAACTTGACATTGCTCATCTCAACGTTTTTCCACAATCCATGATTTGTTGCATTTTTCTCACGACAGAAATCAACCCATATTTCAACTTTTTTCCAGTCGATTAAATAATGTACTTTAGCAAAGAATATTTGTGCAATTCTAATATTTCTACACCGTAGTATCTGTCCAGGTATCTGTCACTTGTTCTTGCTCCCTTTGTCGACGCATAGCCGTCACTGTACAGTGCATTCCTATACTAATACTTTTAACTGTTCGATCCAAAAACATCAGCAGAACTCCCTTCTCGCAAAAGAAGTTAAAATCAAAACTTATTGTTTTATGAAAGCATGTACACCAGGTCTTTCCTTGGAAACGATACCAAAGGTAATAAGAAAATAGTGTTTTAGGCTTCTCCTCTGTTTGGTGAGTGATTCTTGATTTTACCGATTGAATCTATTTCTTGTTTCACAGGGAAATCAGCCAGCGGTTTGTCCTCAGGTGCCAAAGCAGGTATAGCAGTGACCGTGCTGTTATTGGTAGGCCTGGGTTTTGGTACCGCAGCCTGGTGGTTCTACAAACATAAAAAAGGGAAACATTTGTTGGATAATCAACAGTTTAACAATCCGGTTTATTTCTCCTCCGAGAATCAAGCGGTAGATAGTAGCAAAAACGTTAAAGGCTAGATAATAGGATTATCCTAAAAGGGTGGAATGAAATAAGTCGGTAGAGATTACAGCATTTAATAATGTCCTTTGCTATTTGTTCATCAAAAGATAGTAGAAATAGTTGGCACCGGCCTTTTAAAATGATATGAACCGTTTACCCATGTACTTAATAGAAGATTTACAGTAATTGATTGATGGATTCATTTGTAAATTATAGATTAGTACCTAAATTTTTTTTTATTTAGCTAGGTTTCCTTTTAACATTGTCACTGTCGTTGTTAATATAGGCCCTATGTAAAAGTAAAAGCAATAATACAAAAAAAGCAGAATTAAAGTGAAAGTGAAGAAAGAAACAAAGTGAAACAGAAATTCTGCAACGAGACCTCAGATTGACTTGACTAGTCAATTTTCATTGGCTCTGTAGTCGTCCCAATAGTCCAGTTTTCAGTTCGTCGCGGCCTTTGAATAGAAACACTGAAGACTTCATTTGCACAGAGTTAGCCTTGATCAAAGGTAAATATATTCACAAATTCTAAACCAGCATAAATGAATCCTCAGTGCCTCTGGGCTTTTTTTTTTTTAAACGGTGAGAGCTGCCACCCAATAAAGTGAAACAAAAATTACCGTCCAACGGTTTATATTTGCAACGCTTAACGTAACGCGCGGGAGATGCGTCAGGCAGGAAGAAATATGTCACCCTGCTCATTGCACCTATCCATCATTTAAGGAGCTTTCCAGGTCAATAGGAGTACTATTTTCCGATGTGTCCGCAACGCCACGCGCAGATCATCAATTCTAAAGATCTGGTCTAATGAATCCATGAGTATAATGGATCTTTTAAATGTAAATTTGATTTTGTAAAGACATGAGCATAACACCATCTTATTCCGTTTCCGAAGCACTAGTTCTACGACACCAAATGCTGACAGCTCCTTAATTGAGACAATAAAGTTCATGCTGCGGCGTCATCCTGAGAGGCGAGCACGTAGTTGTTACAGGTCAAAATTTAGTTCAGGTTAAAATTTTTGACCTAGGTCGATTCCCAATTTCCTTTGTCTCCTAGCCCCAATTCATGAATAACCAGGGCTAGGAAACAAAGGAAATTGGGAATCGACCTAGGTTAAAAAACATTAACCTGAATATAATTTTGACCTGTAACCACATATTCACTCACACCTTAAAACGGAGATCGTATGCAAGTGACTTTTACTCTTAATAATTAGCAGGGTATGAAAATCTTGATTTCGGTCCTGCTAAACATGCGGAGAGTAGTTACATTAGAGGTAAAACGAAACGGGGTCAATAAGGGCACTGTATCATAATTAAAAATTTTAAACGGTGTAACACGGATGTGTTATGTGTTGTAGGGTGTACAATATTTATGCTCAATTTTTTGTCTAAGGAAACGGGCTTATGTGTGACGCCAATCAAAATCTGAAGGCTCAGCGCTTCTTAGCGGACCTCTTAGGAAACAGAAGTTTACTTCAACGGGTTCAAAAGGTTATGAATTGTAATTTGTGACTGGTCGATTTCGATCCGTTTCGTGTCTTTCTGTGTTTCAAGGTTTGTTGCTTTTGAACTTCAGAGTTGGCGTGAATTTAGCTTTCACGTTTTTCAGCCTTCTTACTGAAAAATGGCAAGTTGAGAAATTGTTCCGAAAGAGCCTCCAAATAGATCCACGCAGAAGAAACACAGATATTCCCAGCTGGCAATGCTCTGACTGCAGCCTGCCTGGTAGGCACAAAAAGGGGAGGGGAAGAGGGAGAAAAACGCGAAAGGGAAAAAGGGAGAGGGATCCTCTCTCCCCAATACCCCTCCCCCTTTCCCTTTCTCCCAATCACCTACCCCATTTGACGCCCGCTACTTAGGGTTCTCTGATTCATAATTGTAAAGCTAATTGCGGAGCTCGAGGGGAGTGATTGGCTAGTCATAAGTGTCTAAGCTAGTGGAAAAGGTGAGTTCTGAGCGTGTAGGCACCTTGTATCAAATCAAGTCAGATGTACATTAGGAAAAATCTTTTTTATTTTTATTTTATTATTGTTATTTTTTTTAAACAAATAATTTCTTCATGTTAATCTTTCACTAGCTAGCTATTTAGTTTTATCTTGCATTTTTTTTTTTTTTTTTTTTTTTTTTTTTTCGTTCTCGCTATTGTCGTCATGTTGTTATAAATTGTGTATGTAGTTCTTGAAAATATTCTGGAAATTCCGAGAGGAGGGGGTCCAAAAGGACACAATTTCCGAGGGGGTGGGGTGAGGGTGTCTTCTTCAGGTCTTTTTCAGGGGGGCTCCGGGTAAGATTGGTGAGTTATCAAAAACTAACAGCTGCTCTGTTGAACAAGCTATCAGTTATTTTACTGTTAACGATCTTTAAAATAAAAATTTATTGTTTTCATCGATTATGTTTTATTAAAGGTCGGCTGAATGTTTATTCTATTTTTTAATGAATTTTTTTTTTTTAAATGATTTTTTTTTTTTACGCAAAAGTTGCATCGGCTCATAAATAAACTTTTAGTCGTCTAGCTGTAAAGGTATTTCACAAGTACGTATTGTGGTATCCATCGTAATGTGGTCGCGTTCTAAGTCTTCTTGTGACATGTTTTTAACTGGAAAGAAAAAGTGTTTCTCAGTGACTTACCGTTAATCATTAACTAAGAAGGAAATTGAGATTATTAGACACTGTACTAACATGAATAAAGGATTTTTTTCTCTCTTTATCGCAGAAGCAATTGACTTTCGCATAATAGTATAGCGTAACAGTAATTTTTGACGTAACTCTTCATTCCAGGAGAAGCCTAACCAAGTGGGAAAATTTACCGAAATTCCAGTGGTGGGGGTTCTGACAAGTACCTCCTGGAATGGAAATTCCGGAGAAAGGGGTGGGGGGGGGGGGGAAGGGACTAAAGCAAAAGTGCCCTCCGTTAGGGATATGGATATTTTCTGGAACTACACATTGTCGTATATTCATATTTTGTCACGCTTACGACTATATGTTGTACTCTACATTTATTTCATACCCACTAGCGGGTTCTGAACTGAAGATGGGTGTTGCTCATCCCAACCATCCCTTCTTCCGTTTTTCTTTGTGGGCCGACAGGAAAAGGACGCCGTTGTTTTTTCCCGTTCTGCCGTCGCTCTCTTCCTCCCCTCCTCACTTCCTCCCCAAAAAATCCTAACCGCAGTTAACAAAACATGTCTACAGAATTTCAAACTGGTGAGTTCTAATTATCAATTAACGTGGAGTTCATTTCAATGATCTAAAAGGGAAGGGCAAAAATGGCTTCTATAGGAAGGGTAGGTTTTACTACAACACAAGCACCTTTCCTTTCTCTTCCAAGTAATTCGAAGTTGCAATACAGATGCGTCCATCTCTTGTGACCGCCGCTGCAGTTATCTCGTAGCCCTTCTCTACATCAAGATCTATGCTACGTTCTAGTTTGCCTTTCTTACTGTAAAACAGCAGTTGTGAGCGGTACGACTTAGTCTGTGAGGCTACGATCACGTGTTTGCTTCTTGGGTGATACGTTATAGCTCGAGCATTGACCTGCACAAGAAACGTCTCAACGAGATATGAAACGGGACTATCGTTAGAGCTGGTAAACACGAAGACCATGGATTCAACATTTAAGACCATAATGCAGTTGTCACCAGCTATGATGTCTTGAATTTTACCACAGGTTTTTATGGAAAATTGACAAATTTCCCTTCCACTGGGGTCGCTAGTCACCATATGAACCTCATTAAGAGTCCCCACTAGTGACGCGCTAGGCTTAACACGGCCAGGGTCGAGACTGCCAGGTGCAAGAAGCAGATGATTATTTGTTGTCTTCACTGTCACGGCTTCTAAGTTACTTCCGACAGCAAACTCATGTTTCAACTGAAGCAACGGATCGAACACGCAAACACGCGCACGTAAAGCACGATTATTGCTAAAATCCACGCCACTCAGCAAAACATAAATGCTGTCATCGCTGTCAGTTGCTGCAGCAGCTATGCGAAAGTCTGTCATGTTCTCCGTATGCCCAGAAATTGTTAAATTGCCATAAATGTCATATTTTTTAACACACTTATCCTTGCTATCGACGACGAGAAATTCCCCAGCGGTATTGGTTGCTATACTAACCGCTGACTTGAGCACTTGGTTTTCTTGTTGGCCCTCTTGACCAAAAGACCAAGCCAAAGAACAGTCACCCAATTTTTGTTTACGCAGCGTTTTTAACATTCTTGAGTCACCCAGAGGATCGATCTCCTCTTCTCCGACTTGAACGCAGGGCAAAAAGTAGAACGTTTGATCTTCAGTTCGTACCAGTGACGTAAACTCATAAATGATGCGATTTATTTGACAGACCATGGAAACAATTTGCTTTCGTTCTCCTTTGCTGAACCTTGACTTTATGCCTTTCCAGAGCTCAAGTCTGAAATTCTCTTTAACAAACGGTTGCGAGTGTAGTTCGTTGAGGTCAGATATACACAAGTCTAAAGAATTAACTGGATTATCCACTTTTTTCCAGTAACGCTGCCATTAAACGAACACCCATGGCAAGGATACAGTCTACAGGGTTTAGAACTTCATTGCAAAAAGCATCTGTTGCTATTCGTCGGGCATCGTCAAACCTTTTCTTTGCGTCCAGCATCGCATTCTCATCAAGACTGTTTAAATTCAGCTTCATTAGCTCCCCCCTGAGGGTAGATGAATCGTTTTTCTCGGCGGCTCCAGCCATCATTTCCTCTGTTGTTTGAGAAGCGGTGTCTGACTTTTTCTCTTCCTTTTTACCCTTTACAAAGAGACTTCCCAGTGGATTCGCAAATGAGAAAAACTTTTCGGACCTAGATGCCCCCTTATCTCCTGCTTCAGAAGTAATGTTTGGAATGTTTTTGCCACGCTTGTCTTCTTCCATGTCTTCATCTCTTCCCACTGCAGCAGGAACAACGTTCAAACTACCTTTGCCACTCGTTTTCGTATTCATTGCTTTATTCAGGAGAATCACGCCTTGCTTGAAATGGGAAATACTTGCCCCGAGATCTTTCCTTGCCATTGCATCTAGCTTCGAGTTCACATTGTCCATTTCGTCCAGCTTCGTAATTGTTCGTCTGCAACGTCACCATCCCTCAGCTTTTTCGATGCACTTTGTCGGCCTTTCTTTAGCAGAAGACCAATAGTACCTCTTAACACCGTTGTTACGATGGCAGACATGACTTGTTTATGCTTGCCTGTTTTTTCTAAACAAAAAGAAAAAGACAACAACGTTAGCTTATATATTAACCTTTGGATTCCAAGAAGGCGACCATTGTTGGTGACGCCACAGGCCTCCAGCAGCGCCACCATCCATAAAATATACTTCATCTTGTTAAGAAGATCAAAGGCTTTCCTGTAAAGGTAAAATCGTTTTGAAATATTGCAAAATATCAAAAACTCCGGGGGGGATTCCATCCACCAACGCCCCCCCCCCCCACCACCCCCTTGTACGACGGTGTGAATTTGCGTGTACGTCCGAAGGTTAAAATGTAAAGTTTAGCTGAATTCACGTGGCCACAGTTGTAGCTATCAAGCAATCATAACAGTAGAAAATAGAGATGATAAAAAAGACGAAACCTTGCTCCTTGTTCATACGGAGCTTAGCATAAAAGCACCGGCAGAATTAGAGTTAGAACCGGGGAGGAGATGACTCTATTGTTTTCCAACGACGAAACACTCGCTAATTTGATCATAAGTATGAGAGCTTTGTTGTTGCTTTTATCTCCTTGTGTTAACTGTCATGGTATAATGTGTCCGTAATTGAGTACTTTTGTTAATTTGTCTCGCGGGTCCTGTTAGTGGATCGCCATCTTCGTTGCTGGACCAGTAAGGCCATCAAAGATTATTTCCTTTTTTTTCTCTAAAATAGGCATCAAGTGTGCACCTCTGTTGATTTCTTAATTATCCAAGAAATTTTACACCTAGTGTGATCGATTTCTGTGTCTCTGAGTTAGTGTGTTTGCTCAGATTCTCTTCTCTACATCGATCGGCCAGTTGACCGGAGTGCAAAATAGCTTTGAAATACGCGCTTAAGCTAATTTTCCATAGGCGTATCTTTGTCCACCAGCTTCATACAGCGTCTATGGTAGAGAAATTGCTTTAATGCAACAAACTTACTGCACCAAAAACGAGTGGCACGGTGGCGTAGTGGTCTAGGAGTTGCCTGCGTGTGAAGATGAACCATGTTCGATTCCCAGCGAAGCTATTGATTCTTACTGATGACCCTTTACTGCCTCGCGAGGTTTTTGCGATAACATATTTGTAGTAACATTGGTTTCGTATGTGGTTTATTTGTGTGACTTCACGCTGTTTAATTGGCTTTTTACGCGGGATGACGTAGTCAGCCAGCGTCATAGATTCGGTTGCGCTTTCCTTTCGTTTTTTTCTTGGGAGTCCAAAATTGCCTTGTTCTTTTAAATTTCCCGTATCCCGTGCCCGTCCCGAAAAATAGTGTGATTTTTATTGGCTGCAACTTCGAATCACTTGCAAGTCAGGTTGGATTGCAGAAACAGAAAAAAGATACTGCGTCAGTAAAGGAGGGAAAAGTAAGCCTACTGCGTAGACGAAGAAAAAGACTTCAAGGCTGTGCTCTAACGGCGCAAGACTTGGCCTCGGGCGACTGAAAATATTGTCCAGGGCCCGGTTACATAAAACGCCCGTAACAACAGTCAAAAAGCTAGAATGTCTGGAATTTAGTTCGTGCAAAATCATAGCTCGCTCGGTCGCTTTTTCGAGCGCGCGTTGATGTTCAAAGGTTGTTTCCACGTGAATTCACATGAAACATAATCCTTGACTATGAACTTGCTGAGCTGCACAGTTTTCGATTTTAAGAGCATTTCAAAATTACATTAAAACTTTTTCTTCAAATTAGGATGGTCAAGAGCCATAATGGGATGGTTCATTAGTTAGTTTTTCAAAAGAAATTGTTAGTTTTGCTCTGACACTTGTAAAGTACGGTCGGTCGAGACGCGAAACAATAGTTTTGTATTTTAAAAAAATTGCTGAATAAACATGGAAGTCGCTCTTTTATGTGAATTATATATTTTTCCTGTTTTTTACTGCTGTGTCTGCGAGGCTAGAAAATAACTTAAGATTGTAATTCCAGTAAAATACGATTTATAAAAAAGGAAGATACGACTATTATTGTGATTGTTTTAGAAACGGGTATAAATATCTAAATTCCCGCATCGTCTTTCGTGTCGTCACAAGTCATTACGTATCACCATAGTTATTAGAGGAGACTGGTTATGACAAGCGGCAAACATCAATGATAAGAACAACAGTGCTGCAGTTTATGTTGGAAGTACCGTGAAAGTGCACAATACTTTGTTTTCTGTTGGCAAATTGCTACGGAATAAATTAATGCAACGTTTTTATTGGTCAATACAATCAAAATGATAGGAATTCTTTTGAACGTTGTGCACTTTCAGGTCCACAAAAACATATAACAAAGGAGTCTGACGGGTTTCATAACCATTCCACTCAATTAACTATGGTATCACGTACTAAAAATAAATAGGCAAAAAGCTAAATCTAGTGGTCAAAGTAGAGCTACAAAAGCTGGCTACCGAATCCCCAGAAGCTCATTAGTCCCGAGTATTTCACCAATAATAATTATAGAAAGAAAATACTTCTGTTCTGCGCTTAAACGACGACTTTCCAACAAGACGATCTATTTAAAAGAAATAATAGATTTGGGGCGGCCACGGTTTCGTTGAAATCATAGCAGTTTTCCAGGAAAGCTCCACGTGATCTCAGTCAATCTTAAGCGAATAAATCAAAATTATTAGTAAAAGGAATAGTGTCCTTATTTTTGACCCAAAAGTTTTTTTGTAAAAAGTACATAAAGAGACCAGAATCTTAGTTTTCCATTTAAAAAAACATGAAATATTCGGCGGCGTTGCCTACGCTTCTAATCATATCGGCTGTCATCACGAAAAGTGAAGTGAGCCATTTCGAAGAACGTAGGGGTTTTTTCCACTTCAAGAGAACTTAAGTTGCGGGGTGGCCCACACAGGCATAACAATTAGAGAGGCAAAATACCACTCCTTCGAGAAAGGGGAAAACAAGGCTCAAAGAAAGACATCAATACGAGGACGCCAATTTAAACGCCAAATATTTTGATCTTGATAGAAGCTGCCAGAGAGTGTGGACTGGGGCCTTGGATTAGCCTTCTTAACTACAGGCCCCAGATTATAAGCCTTCACAATTTCCCAGGTCACTTGGAATCAGAAACTACATAGTTCGCAACTGATCATCTATGGCAAGACTTCCAAGCTACAACCAATTGCAAAAATACTTGAGACGCTGTACCTTATTTTGGCCTAACTGGCCTGCTTATGATCTTGTGCTTGTGATACCCCTCCTCCCATTATCAAAGTTGCTAGCAATACAAGATCATGCTCAAAACGTGGAGGAACAACTTTGAATGGAGAGGAGAGGGGATACGAGCATTATATCGCACAGAGCTGTGAATAGCAGCCATTTGAAGTAAGAGAGGTCGGTTTTTCGTCGGAGTGTCTCAACATTTTTGTAACTGGTTGACTGAGTCCTTTATACCTCTATAGCCGTAGCGCTCACTTATTAAACTGGATGAAACGAGGTGTATTTTTTTCCACTTAAAAAGGAACTTATAACAAACGATATTTCGTTTTCCTAAGTTCGTGTGTTCTAGAATGGTTAGACAAAAACCGCACATCTTTTTTATTTTTTTTTGTTAATTTGTTTGTTTTGTTTTTGTTTTTGTTTTGTTTTTTGTTTTTTTTTTTTTTTTTTTTCATGTAAAAATTACAGGTTAACGCACTCAGCGAGTGAATTATCGAGATTTATCTGCACGAGTTCACCAACAATGGACGAGAAATTTCAAAAGCCTCTGCAGTATTGAAAATTTCGAATAACACGAAGATCGAAACATTAGTTTTCAATACCCCCCCAAAAAACCTTCTTCAGAATAAAGCTACCAAAAACAAATACTTGCCAAAATTTTCCGAAATTGAAAATTCAAACCCAAAAAAATTCCTTTCGTCATCCCTGCCACTTAAATCAGTTCCGGAGTACCCCACCTGGAGCGGTCATCCAGCAACGACCACAAAGCTTATAATCAACGTTCTGTTTGGTTGTAAGGCGCCCATGACGTACCAGAAAACATACAAGCGAGCGAAGCCAACGTACCTCAGGTGTCAGATAAAGCAAATACTACAATAACAAGAAGAAAAGCAATATCCATTGCCTAAATACCTTAGTAAAGACTTATTTTCCCAGTGGTATTGGGTTTACTATCTACAAGTCCCTGTACCTACATCCGAATATATGAAAAACATCGTCCGCTTCTCAAATTGCGTAGCAAAAGCTTTCACGCGACGTACCTTTTACTTTCTGTGAACTCACGAGTTGGTTTTAGTTTCAACTTTGCTCTGAGAGAAGCCGCTTTATAGGGCTTTTTCGCTGGACACTTCAATGAAATGAAAGGATCTTTCGTTTCCAACTGGATTTAATGTTAACCCAGGCAGTAAAACTACCCAGGGGTTCCACTCACATATTTTAATGACGGGGGTCCGACAGAGGTTCATATTTTATACCCCAAAAAATCCCAACTTCAAAATTTGTCTACCCAAAAAAATCCCTACTTTTTTTAGCATACCCAAAAAAATCCCTCAGTGTTTTTACATCAGCAAATTTTATTATTTATCTTCTGGAAAGCTAAAACATGCCAACTTCAACTTTGGTTTTGGTCAAAAACAAAACTATAAATTGCGCTTATGTTATTTTTGATTTAAGCTGATGAAAAATACAATACCCAAAAAATCCCTCTGTTGTTTTCGCGACCCAAAAAAATCCCTGCGTCTTTCATAGACCCAAAAAAATCCCTTTTGGCCAAAATGTCAGACCCAAAAAAATCCTTCGGACCCCCCCATCATTAAAATATGTGAGTGGGGACCCTGGGAGAACTACATTCAACCGCAGGAACGGATCGAGGCACTGAAAATCATGTGATTCGAAAAGCTCTTTAAGTTCCACGTAACCCGAGGTCGCCATGTAACGCTATGTATGTCCGTAACACCATGCCATGGGGTAAAGAAAAGTGTCCCTGAAGGGTCCTCTCATCCTTTGACCCTCGGACCTACAAACGCAAATTCATACACCCAGTATGGTATTCATAGAACCTCTCCCTAGAGTTTTTGATATGTTGCAGTACTTCGAAACGATTTGAGAGAAACAACTTGGCAAAGAATGATCTCACGCCATAGCCCGCACGCCCAGGGGCCCCACTCACATATTTCAATGACGGGGGGGGGGTCCGACAGAGGTTCATGTTTTATACCCAAAAAAATCCCAGCTTCAGAATCTGTCTACCCAAAAAAATCCCTACTTTTTTTAGCATACCCCAAAAAAGTCCCTCAGCAAATTTTGTTATTTATCTTCTGAAATAACTGAGTCAGCGACACATCTTTGTATGGGTTCATAAACCACTTTGGCAAGCTTGATGTTATGTTACTAATATTTTCAAGAGAACTTCTTCATACAACAAAAATGGGATCAAAACTGACTGGACCTCTTAGCTCTTGCTGGAACTCAACAGCATTGACTCCCGGTTTGAGTTTACTTACAAAATCAGATTTCTTTCCTTTATTTTTACATAGCAACGTGATCATTTGATAATAGATATATATCAGCGGGTAAACATCTAATTCATAAAATGTTTACTTTGCGTGATACAGTGTTTCCATTGTGGTCTTGATGACTGGCTTGAAAAGCCTTGAATTACGTGACCTATTGAATATTTCTCTCTGGATTAGACGCGCGTGGAGTGCCGGTAATTACTTTTCAAATAGATGACAATCTCAGAAACATCCCGTAATACCACACAAGCAGCAAATTGCGCTTATGTTATTGTTGATTTGAGCTGATGAAAAATACAATACCCAAAAAAATCCCTCTGTTGTTTTCGCGACCCCAAAAAAATCCCGGGGTCTTTCATAGACCCAAAAAAATCCCTTTTGGCCAAAATGTCAGACCCAAAAAAATCCTTCGGACCCCCCCGTCAATAAAATAAGTGAGTGGGGCCCTTGGGCGTGCAATAGTTTCAGAGGTGCCGCTGATGTACGGTATAGTCGCTGTCGTAACGGGGCCAGAGTTGGTCTCAGTGTTGGAATCAGTGTTACCGTGAGTGTTCCGTCTAACAACGTCGATTCCGTCTTTGTGTACGACGACACATTCACCGCTGTACAGAAAGACGGAATCGACGATTTTCACGAACACCGACACATACCGACCGATTACTAGACCAGTCTTCGTACAACCAGACTTCTCACAAGGCTACTATTATCCGGACTTTGACGAGACGAGCGCAAGTAGTCTGCGACTCACCTGACAGCCTACAAGACGATCGAGACTGATTATCTTAACATTACGTTTTTAGTAAGAACAATTACAACACGGACTTTAGAAAGTAATTAAGAACAATTAATTAAGAACAGAGGTAGTATCGAGATTAGTGGCTTTATGGGTTTTACGAGGTTTGCGTTTACGGCGATTGAGTGTTTTGGCCAATCGAACTATGTCTTCCCCATATTAGGATTTTCTTTGGAGGGAAAACGAAGAGTCCGTGTTTTGATCTTTTCATCCATTGGCTGATAAATTTTTCAAGGCCAGCCATCACGGGGTGCACTCTATCAAGATTTTTATTGAATGGTCGCTAAGCGCGTGAACAAACGAAGTGTTTTGGTGGTTAATGCTCTTCTACTCCCACCTGCTGCTCTTGCTGCAACCTTTCAGTACAGTAGCTTTCTATTGTCATGATTGTTGAATAATAAGGATAACTGATCCAGGCACCAAAAATGCCCCATAATTATGTTCGGAAAACTAACATGCTGAATCATCTTTCACAAGATATAATCTAGAAAAGCCAACACAAATGCAAATTATATACATCAGCGGCACAGCTAAGGCCTGTTTACAAGAAGACGAGGTTAGCCTCGTGCTAGGGTTACCCTAGTACGCGGGCTGAAGTTAGCCCGAGTTTACAAACAAAATTTCACAGGTAGGGTTACCCTATCACCCGGGTCAACTTTACAAGTTTTATATGAAAGAAGATCATAGCAGTTACAGACGCAACTTTTGCAGTTGCGAAAAGAAAGCCTGAAAAAATTAGATGATTTTCATATATTCATAACTCCATCATCATCCTTTCACGGGCTTATAACGAACCAATTCAATGACCTGCTCCCAGATGGCTTGTTAGCTCAATTCAGGTAAGAGCGCTGCACCGGTATCGCAGAGCGGTCAAGGGTTCAATTCCCGTAGAAGTCATTTTTTTCCAGGCTTTCTTTTCACAACTGCAAAAGTTGCGTCTATAACTTGCGATGATCAGTATTATTTCACATAATTCTTCACTTTGCAGTTCTCATATAAGATTTTCATATCTTCATATATTTTTTTTACCAGTTTAACTGACTTGTTTCTTCACGCGTGAAGACTACCCCGGGTACCAGAGGTTTTTTTCTCGCGTGCGAAGAGAGGCTTCATCGGCCGCAGGCCAACACATCTTCGGCCGTTGGCCGAAGACACGAGCGGCGAAGCGGGTCACTTTTTTTTACCGAAACCGGAAACCGCGCATGAAAAGCCTCTGGCACCCAGGGTAACATGAGAGTGAAATAAACATTCTTTGTGACGTCAAGGTTTGAAAAACTTAAAGTTCTGTATGGAAAAGGCGTTAATTCACGAAAAAACGTGAAAATACTATCATCATACGATATACAAAAAATACCGTATATTGTTCACATGGTCATAATCTGGCTCAGAAATTGGATAACTCCGTTCAAATTGTGAAGATTAATGGTCACGCATGGCGGAGGAAATTTGTCCCACGCATGAGGCGAGTTATACCTAGCATAGCGTTTACAAGGCAGGTTGTGTAACCCTCTTGCTAGGGTTACCCTAGCACTCAGTTAGGGTTACCCCAGCGCTAGGGTAACCCTACCTTTCTGGTAAACACATCAGGTGGAAAGAAAATGGAAATATAGGAGTGCTAGGATAACTCTCTTCTTAGGGTTACACTAGCACCAGGGTTACCTTCCCTCCTTGTAAACAGGGCTTATAAGTATGAAATCATCTCTGACAAGTAAATTGATAAGCGCCGTCGCGTTTCGATTTAATGCGCTAGTCCTTTAATTTAGACTATTCCTCATTTTTTAACACGTTTTCCGTACTCTTTTCTATTCAGTAACACCGCTAGCTTAACTTATAAATTTTGGCCGTTTTTTTTTTTTTGGACTTAATATGATACTCCCGTTTCGTGGTTGTCTTTGAATAAGTACAGACCTTTAGATTCTCAGACGAGGACGACTACGTGTACGAGATTTTCTAAATACTAAGTAGTGCGCGCCCGTGAACCAACCTCATTTTGGCAGGAAAACGTTGTTGACGTCGTCTAGTACGAGTTTTAGTGAAAATGTCGTTGTAGCAGAAACAAATTAAAAAGTGTTGTAGGTCTTATCATTTTGCTGCCGGGAGATGGCTTATCCTCCTTCAATAATAAGAAAAGTGCTAATTTCTTGGGTGAAAGTCAAGTACTATAAAGCTTTCCGGCAAATCTCGTAATTGTAGTCGTTCTCGTCCAAGAACCTAAAGTTCTCTAGTGAGATTTAGAAAAAAAGAATCGCGTTTAAAAAAAATTGGAAGTAATGAAATCCAGGTGGGTAGAATTGACGTTTGAGGTTTCCTGTTTTCCGTAAAGGTCTTTATAATTACAGTGTAAGATGATATTACCGGGTACCTTCCGTTGTGTCTCACGTGCTAGTGATGTAGTGCACAATTTCCGTAGAAGATGAATTTGTAAACTAAAGGTACAAAGCAAAGGATTCTACTTACAATTTTTTGGCGCCGCACCTATGCTTAAATTTCTTCAGTCGCTTTCTTTGGATTTTCATTTATGTAATTGTCTGCCATTTTTTCCCGGGAAATTTTAATCGGCAGGAAGAAGAATTTTTACAGATAAATGTACAAAAAACAAACCAACTACGCGACAGACAAGCAATGCCACGCGAACGACCTCGTAAATGCCAAAAGCGATGCGAGAGAAAAACCTCTGCTCGCAGGGTATTAGGAAGGCCATCGGTAGAACTACTGTCTACTGCATCTTCACAAATGAAGAAAAGATTCGATCACATTGCAATTTTTTAGTATTAACAGGGCTACATTTACACTACAAGCACCTTCCCTTTGCCTTCTTTGATATTTGATGCTGCTATACAAATGCGTCCATCTGTGGTCACTGCAGCCCCAGTTATGATGTAGTCTTGCTCCACGTCAAGGTCAATGCTACGTTCAAATTTGCCCTCTTTACTATAAAATAGCAGTTGACTGCGACAGCCTTCGATCACTGAGACAATGATCAAGTGTTTGCTTCTTGGATGAAAAGTAATAGCACAAGCACCTCCACGGACTCGAAATGTCTTAAGTAATAGTGAAACGGGACGATCTTCTTCACTAACACATCCATATGTGAATACAAAGACAGTGGAGTCGCTACCCAAGATCATAATAAGGTCATCAGCAGCTGTGATATCTAGGATGCGTTCTGAAGTTTCCACAGAAAGGTAGTCGATATGCCTTCCTTTAGTATCTTTCAAAACCACATAATCATTTGGGTCGTCGCCGATCAACCGTTCAGACGAAAACACGTCTAATTCAGACCCGTTGTCCAAGCCCGAACCAAAATGCGTGAACCCCGGTACAAGAACGAGGCGACTGGCTGTTACTTTCACCCTCGTAGCTTGTAAATCGGAGCCAACTTTAAATTTATTTAAGAACTGAGCTAAATTATTAAACACGTACAGGCGTGCAGTAGGACAATTACTAGACGTTTCATTCTCCAACACATAAATGTTGTCATCTTGGTCAGTAGCTACATCTGCAGGTCTGACAGGTGTACCATATTTAGTAAAAGGATTAAAAGATTCTAAAAATTTGCCACAAGTGTCGAACATTTTCACACATATCCCGTCGACAACAAGGAATTGTCCATGAGTATTGGTTGCTATACTAGTCGCTGAGTCAAGCCTTTGATGTTCTAGTTCGTCCTTCTGACCAAATGACCAAGCTAAACAAAAGTCACCCATCTCGAGCTTACGCAGCATGTTTGCCATTCTTGAGTCGCGAAGAGGATCGACTCTCTCATTTGCGATTTCAACGCAGGGCCAAAAGGACAACACTTCTTTAGTGCTTACCAGTGACGACGGGGGGTGACAGCTCTAACAAGGGCTGTTTCGGGAGAAAAACAAATTTATTCCGGGAATCTGGAGATTTTGCCGGGAATCGGGAAACCTGGGAAATGTTTCGGGAAATATGAGATATTTTCGGGACATTGAGCAAAGATTTGATATTACATGTTATCAAACAAGTTATATATACAGTGATATGCACCCAGTGTATGCGCTGTATTCTATGTATTTTGACACTTGAAAACGGCTGAACTCCCCATGATATGAAAAGACCAATCAGCAACGTTTCCTACTAAAATAGCATGAAGTTCGAGTGCGATTGACCACGTGCAATCCCCAGAGGATTGACACAAGAACCGTACCGGTGCATACTATCAGTTCACACTAATCCCATCATTCATTAGTTCAGGGGTATTTTTACGCTGCACCTTAACGAGTTTTAAGAGCACATTCCACTGATTGCATACTGGAAAATTTGAAAGAAGTACGTAAGAAGTATGTAAGAAGAAAACGAAACTCATTTAACCTTGTTAAACACAAATGAGGCCATAAAAAGTAGTATGTCTGTGAAGACTCTTTAATCATCCTGATCTCGTCGGGGTCCTTCCGATTTTGCTCGAAAATCCCGAATCCCGATCAATATGCGTTCGGGATAGGAAAATTTCAGATTTCGACACTTGTTCTGAAATTTTCAAATGAATTCTTTTGATACTCATACAATGACACCACACAGAGTATACTTAGCTGAAAGTGATATCCAGAGCAATTTCAAAAACCGCACAACTTGTATAAAATAAAATTGACTACTTCTACGCGAAGTCACGCCAATAAAAATAAGCATAAAAAGGACAATTGATTTAGAGAACATTTTGGACAGAATTTGTCCTCTCAGAACACTAGAAATGGCGTTTCAGAGCACCAAGATTTCAAAATTTTGTGGGGGAGCATGCCCCCAGACCCCCCTAGTGGTTGGCCCCTTCACTGCTCGCCTGATTCATCAGTGATTAAAAAACAAAAAAACACGATTTTATATACTTAAAAAGTTTGACAGTCTTTCTGTGTTAACATGATACCCTCTAAACGAAAAAATAACTAAGGTTAGATAATTAACAAGTTACATAATTAACAAGAAGCTGCAAAAAATCTCTAATCAAAATTTTAATTTAAATTGTTAAAACAATTTTGGGAAGTTAAACATTTGTGGGGAAAGCCACCGAAAAATTCGGGAGGGTCGACGAAATTTCCGGGAGGACAGAAAGTTATTCATAGGACTGCCCAAACAGCCTTTGTTAGAGTTGTCACCCCCCGTAGTGACGCGAAGTCGTAAATGGTGCGATTTACTTGACAGACGAAGGAAATAATTTGCCTTCGTTCATCCTTGCTTAATCTTGACTTGATACCTTTCTGAAGTTCAACGCTAAAATTCTCTGTAACAAACGGCATCGAGTGTAGTTCGTTGAGGCCAGATATACACGCGTCTAAAGCACTTACCGGGTTATCTACTTTCTCCAATATTGTTGCCATTAGACGAACACCCATGGCTAGGATACGATCCAAGGGGGTGAGAACTGCATTGTTAAAGGCTTCTGTCGCTTTTCGTCGAGCGTCGTCAAACCTCTTCTTTGCGTCAAGGATTGCTTCGATTTCATTAAGACTGTTTAGATTCATCTTCCTCAGTTCCCCTGTGAAAGGCAATTCGTTTTCCTCTACACCAGAGGATCTTTCCGGTTCCTCTGTCATTTGAGAAGCAGCTTCCAACCCTTTCTCATTCTCTCTACCCTGGTCCCAGAAGCCAGTTGCTTGAGAAGCAATCGACCAAAACACCCTGGGCCAGGACGCCTCCTGTTTTGATGCTTCAGGATTTGCTTTTTCATTGCTCTCTTCGAAGTTTTCTTCTTTCACATTTTTAACTTTTCCCACTTCTACAGGACTTGCATTTAAACTTCCTATGCCACAAGTTATCGTTTCCATTGCATTATTAAGGAAAACTAGTCCTTCCCTGAAAAAGGAAATACTTGCTCCGAGATCTTTCTTCGCCATTGCATCAAGTTTCGAATTTATACTATCGATTTCATCCACGATCCAGTTCTTCAATTTTTCGTTTGTAACGTCGCTATCCTTCAGTCTCTCCACAGCTGCTTTTCGGCCTTTCTTTATGAGAAATCCGAGGGTACCCTTTAAGACGGTTGTTACAATTGCAGACATTACTTGTTGTTGCTTTTAGCTATATTAAGCAAAAAGTGACTGTGGGAAGCAGAAAGAAAAAAAGAAAAAAAAAGGTAAGGATTTGGAACAAAAAAGACCAACCTCTTTTGCTGCATGTTTGCATTTTTTTTTTTAGATTATAAGATACAAGATCTTCATATCTATTTTTGCTCTCGAAAAAGATTTAAAACTTGCTTTCCATGTTTGTGTTTAGGTGACTGTTAAGCAAGTCCTACTGCTATGGCAAACAGGACAAAAAAAAAACGGAAAACATGAATCAAATATAGACGGCTGCTTTTCCATTTAGTAAAGCTTTAGAGGTCTCTAAAAACAAGAAAACAAGCCAAATTACCGATTTGAGAGGCACCCCACTACGAACTTTACAACCTCTCATGATACAGGACGGTCTCAATGAAGTGGTGGCTTTGTCGGTTGACGCTGGATTTTTTTCACGAATTTTGACGGCTTACGGTTATTAAGAAATTTAGAAATATTTTCAGATATAAGCAAATTGTATCGCAGTGATCAGTGAAACGATGTTTACCTCAGCGATGGCCCCTCACTCCTGTCTACAAAGCACAGAAACAAAGGCTTGACCATCTCACCCCCTCCCCACTCTTCTTAGGCTATATACTAGCGTTCCCGTAGCGTCTCGACTCCTCAAGGCCAGCCATATTAGAAACATTCGATCGACCGTGAAAATAACTTCCGCTCCTTTAAACAATAAAATTAATTGATGGTAAAATGGCACACTCTATAGCTGCATATCATAATTGTTCTTCTTTTTGGCAGGTTCTTATACTTTTGATTATATTATGGCAATTTCTGCAGCCGGCAGTTTCTTTCTGTATTTTAATTTGGGCCTTTAAGGCGAAATAGAAAGTGCGTTTAAGTGATAGGGGTGGCGAATGGTACCTCGAAAAATGCGGGTCTCGGAAAATTTTGGTAGGATCTCGAAATCTCGGAAGCGTTTTCGGTAAGTCTCGAAGTCTCGTTTTTGCATGGTTTGTTTTTACTTTTTTTGAGTCTCGAAACTTTTTACTAAAGAGTCTCGGGCTCGGATTTCTAACTAGGATCTCGGCGTCTCGGCGAGTCTCGGATTTTACCATTCGCCACCCCTAGTGATTACAAGAGGAACTAGCTTTTGTGAAGAGTATAAATAGATTAATCTATAATTTCAAAGTTGAACACCGTTGGCCTGTTGTTGCGTATTGAGCTGCTGTTGAAAAAATAAACTTGGTCATAATCTTTTCGCTGACTTACAGAGGAAAATGAATTGATTTATTGAAAGGGAGGAATAAAAATGGCCCTTAGCTTGGGTGCACTTTTATTTCGCGGTATCCGCACTTAATGACCATTAGGCTTCTAATCAATATATATTTTACTTATCCGTCTGTAGTTAGTTTAAATAAATACACTTGGATTTACCAGCGTGGTTATGACTACCCTTAACCCCTCTTAAGAAAACTGACCCGTAATTTTCTGATAATATTACGTGAAATATTCTTGTAGTTTTCTGGTGACAATTACGGCTTTTTAACGGATGCCGCATTACCGCAATAGCTGTGATTTACAATTCGTACAGGCCAAACATCGATCGACCGTGGAAATAACATCCGCTCCTTCAAACAATAAGATTTGATGGTAAACGTGGCGCAATGTACTTAAAATAATTTTCCCTCTTTTCGGCCTTCAATTTGAGTTATTATCAGTTAATTACTTTACGGTTATCAGGTTTGTAAAGATTTCAGTATGTCAACAAAGTTTCTGCTTTCTTCATCTTACTTTATTCTGTACTTAAAAAATTTATTTACTGTAATATCTAATTAAATTGCTCAATCCTGACTGTGGAAAAAGCATTCGTTGCCTAAAGCAGTACTGAAAGAGGGTGTGAATGGGGTTAACCCCGGACTAGCGACAAAGGGCGGAAAATACTACTGACTACCGACAAAACGAGACAAAAAAGTACCGACTACCGACAGGAAAAATACAATTAATGGACTGCCGACATGGGCTGACATTATCAATACTTGTTTTAAGAAAAAAGAGCATTTTGTATTTTTTTTCATCAGATGGTCTAACAGAACAATTTCCTCTTTTTTTGTTACAGGTACATTACTACGACCAATATCAAAATCACAGAAGTCACACTTTAATGCTGCTACTGACTTTATAAATTTTATTGAAAAAAAAGGTAAAAAAATCAAACGTTTCTTGTTTCGGTCCGAGAAATGCTTAGATTAATCCTCAAAGAAGATCCTTTCCAGTTTAATGGAAAGCACTATCAGTGCAAACCCACGGTCCCGAGATGAGCCCAAAGACAGCAGTTTCCTTTCCAACTTTTAAGCATGGCATACATTGAAACACAAAGTTTAAGCAAAACCGTCTTTAAACCAACTGTTTGAAAACGCTTCATAATAGATGCCAATTTTCCCCTATGGGACATACGTTCGGTATAGACGTCTTCGCGGAAGAAGTAAACGTACATCACCCTGTTATGAGATTCACGGCCGAAATATCTGACATTGAGACAATCTTTTTAGACCCAGTTGTATACCATTAGGCACTACATTCAACGAAAAATGAGAAAAAGCTATCCTTGACGTAAAGACGCCTTTTAAACGGAAACCTTCTTGTATATACATTTTCACCTCTTATCACCCAACAATTGTTAAGATGGATTTGAAAAACGAGTAGCCTGAAAGCTTGAAAGAAGAAAGAAGTAAAAGAAGCAAAACTCAGTCACAGAAAGGAAGGAAGCTCTCCTGAAACAAACAACAAAGAAGAAAAACAAATATTGCCTTTCGTGACACAATACCAGCCCTTAGAGTCTATTATAAGAAAAAGTGGAATCTCACACAAAACCAACCACTACTCTGAATTTTTTAAAGAACCACCCAAAGTGCTATTTTTTTGAGAAAGGAAAATTGCGCAAAGGGCATGCTTGTTAAAGCCAAAACATTAAAGGTATACGGATGAGCAGCCTGTCACACCTAGCAGTTTTTCACTAAAATTACTTTAAGTATCCAAAAGGCTAGAGGCCATTAATTAATTAATTACTTTTTACTTTGCCCTGTAGTCGACAGGGAAACTAAGTTCTCATTATAATAAAAGCTTTGGTGATTTTATCAGTACTACTGATTCATTTGGCAAACAATGGTAAAATAAACTATCATGTTGCATAAACAAACAAGAGTTAATGAAGTTTAAGTCCAATTAAATGATGCATTCTTGCAAGTTTTACTCTTTCCTTTGGGATCAAAGTTTTGAATTTGGGTGAAATACAGTAAAAAATATATATATTTATAATTAATAAGCGTTTTTACTTTGTTATTAACTGAGATTTTCCGACAACAGACAAAAATCGAAAAGTTTAACCGACTACCTACAAAGTAACTGAATTTTAACCGACAGCCGACAAGTGGACACCTCCGGAATTCAGACCCTCCTGAAATTATATGCTAGTAAGAAAACTTATGTTGCTTGAGCAATTTATGTTGGAATGTTTCTTACTATTTTGCATTTCAAAGATTTTCAACTAAGTTTTCTCGCTTGCTCCATACCCAGCCATGAATGCCAAGCGTGAAAGGGAAGAGAACCTTTTACTGTGCAAATCAGTAACAAACCGTTTTTATACTTGTCCTCTTTGTTGGTTGTTTTGTTAGTAATTCAGTCCGGTGAGGTAGACGCACGGTTGACACGGCTATAGGTCTGAATGTCAAGGTTTGTTTTCCAACTGTTATTAGGTACCGGCTGGCAGAGCCGACGAAAATTAGTCTCCTGGGGTACTCCTAGATAATTGAATAAAGTAGCGGTTCTTTGCCCCGATATCGACAAGAAGAAACCCGCGTTTAAGAAGAACTAAGAACTTGAGTTTTGCACACGAACAAGTTATCATTAATTCAGGACATGGTTAGTGGCTTAGGGGCAATCCTTTGTACCTTTGTACATTAGACACGTCAAAAAAAGTTGTTTCCGAATTCACTATTCAATCGCTCAATATATGTCATATATATTCATTATTAAGAAAAGTGCCCTTGAAAGGAATGAAAAAGGAAACTTAGTACGTACCTTCAAGACTGAGAGTCGTACAGTTGAGTAGCCTGTGAACAGGCTCTCTGTCTGGGGAAAAAAATAGCAAGGAAAGGGAAGGGAAGGGGGGAGAGAGCCTGTAGACACACGTTTGAGGCCGCTATTCCGCCCTCTTGTAATTATCTTGCCGAACATCTGTCAGCAAGATCGGTATCTGTCAATCAATTTCGCGCGTGAGTAACTCCTGGGAAAATTATAATTAAAAAAGGGAAAACATCCGTGTTTTGCTTCGTCTCAAAACAAAGTGAAATGGACCGCGAGCCTAATTGTCGATTTTGAAAAAAATCGTTGATCTCCGGTAAGAGAATTAATACGGTACCGGTCGTTGGCGTTTCAAGAAATAAGACCTTGCTGGTTGACAGTGGCCAAGACAGCGTTGTACTAGCGCAAGCATTTGATTGCTCAAGATTTCCTCTTGTGCAAGGAGAAAGCTTTTCCGATTTACAGGATTTAAGCTGCTTAACTTGTGCTCATCGCGCCGTTCGTCTTGCTAGTTCAGTTTCTAATTCAACAAGCCCCTGCAATGAGCGAACTTGGAATGCGAAAGGTACAGATACTATCATGACTTCTCCAGAACGTGAACCCCCAAAGACAAGTACAAAGAAATCAACAGCGCTTCGATCGCCGACAGGATTTACACCTTAGGGTATTTATCCCGCATTTATAGCAACAAAAGAGGGCGGTAGGCCAACACGGCGTTTACCTCACGCCAAAATGCTGCCTGTTCCCATAAGTTTTTTCCTCTGCTCGGTAGATTATGCTCTGGAAGGTTCTACATTTTCACTGAGCAAATATGGTTTTAGCCGCTGGTTTCACACTGAGAGGTCATGGCATACATATCGATTTACTGTGGTTTTTGTCTCTGGTCGGCAGGATTTGCCCTCTCTGATGCAAGAGCATTTTCTTTG